GAAGTTCTACACGCCATCAGTGCGCCCAGCGGGCAAGTTCAACGCATCGTTATCTTCAAGAAGAACGGCGTTCAAGCCATGGTGGAATATCCTTTCTAAATGCGTTTTATGTTTCTGTTTTTTTTTTTTTTTTTTTTTTTTTTTTTAATAACCTTTCGTCCAACCTAAATTAAAATATTTTTAAATTGTCGATAATTTATTTCCAATCGAAACATAATAATTACGCGTTTTATAAATATTTCAATATTCACTTTAATATTCGTTTAATTTCTACATCTTAAAAGCCGGTTTATTTTTTATTCAATTATTTATACATATATATGTATGTACATGTGTATATATATATATATATATTTATATTTATATATTCCTTAACTTAGTTCAATCGTAATCACGTTCGACTCGGTAGAATCAGCCACAAGAGCAAAAGAAACGCTTCATGGGGCGGACATATATTCTGGCTGTTGCACCTTAAAAATTGACTTTGCTAAGGTAAGTCTTTTTATATGAAAAATATTTAATATAATATAAATAAAATAAAATAAATCTTAATGATATTTAGATACATCGAATGATGATGGTTACGTTTTTTTTCTTTTTTTTTAGATTTACTTTTAAACGTAAGTTTTTTGTTCTCTCGTGTTTTTCTCCTCTTTTTTTTTTCTTTTTTTTTCTTTTCTTTATTTATTTATTTATATGAAAATAAAAAAGTTATTTAGAAGTAAACGATGAATTTAAAGATTAAGTTTTGTGTAAGATATAATTCTTTTGTTTTCGTGTTTTTTTCTTTTTCTTTTTTTCTTTTTTTCTTTTTTTCCTTTTTTTCCTTTCAAATAAAATTACGTACAATTCGAAAATTATTAGAGTTAATTATATTTTTATATATATATATATATATTCATACTTAATCCAGTATACTCTAATTGTTCTTAGTTATAACATATAGTATAGCAATTATAGCAAGTAATGGTATATACTATATACAGTTTTATATAGTTTATAATATGTTATATAACATTACTGTATTTTATGACTACTATAGGATTGCTATATCGTTTAAACTACACTGTGTTATAATTTATTAAAAATATAATAGATATACGCGAGTTCATGAATTCGATTTAATACGCGATGTTTATGGAAATTTAGAGATGTTTAAAAAAAAAAAAAAGAAAAGAAAATAATAAGAAAAAAATGATGATTTATATCATTTCTACAAATCTACTGTAACATAAATATTCATTTAAATGGCCAATGATAATATCGAAGCTTTAATTATTTGTAAAAAGGTGCATATAGTAAATATATTTTGATAATAACAGAATATTAATTGCAATTACATTGTTTATATTGATATGTTAATTTAAAACGTATAACTTATCGAACATTAACACTTCTTTATGTATATATGAATTAACAATTAATTAAAAATATAATTGATATGTGGATTTATAAAGTTAAAAAGTAACACACGATGTTTAAGGAGATTTACAGATATTTATAAAAAAAAAAAAAAAGAGAAAAAAAAAAGAAAAAGAGAAAAAAAAAACAAGAAAAGAAAAAAATCCACAACAGTTTTATAAATTAATTCTAACTTAAATATTCATTTAAATAACCAATCGTAATTTCGAAGTTTAATTATTTTGCGAAACAGTATACATAGTAATATATTCTAGTAATAAAGCATTTTAGCGATAATTATATCGAGTATACTGATATGTTAAACTGTATTATAACTTATATTTATTAAACATTAACATTTCGTTAGGTATATATATCAATCAAAAGTTAATTTAAAATAAAACATATATGGACGAATTAATAACATTGAAACTCAATGTATTATTATTGTATTATTATTGAAATAATACATCGCGATTATGGAGTTTTACAGATACTTAAAAAAAAAAAAAAAAAAAATGAAAAAGAAAAGAGAAAAAGAACAAAGAAGAAGAAAAAGAAAAAAAAAAGAAAAAGGAAGTAAAAAAGAAATATAATCAAACATCACTCGGATAGATTTACATTAATACAAATATACGTTTAAATAAATAACAAATCGAAAAGACATTGAAGCATAATTATTTGGAATAACGTTAAACTTTAAAGAACTTAGATAGTTTAATAACTTTAAGGGAATGATGTTAGTAGGAAGGTCCAATTAAACTTGCCAAGTTGTCTCTAAATTGGCCACGTTATAATAAATATATCGAAAGAGAAAAAGAGTACTATCAGTAATACCAATAGAGTGCAAGTAATAGTAGCAATAGTAGCAATAGTAGTAGTAGCAGTAAGTAGAGTCAGCATCACTAGAGTTAGTTAGCAATAGTAATTAGAGTTAGGAGCTATAGTCGTCGTCGTAGCTAGGCGTTAGAAGTAAACGATATACTTACCACCACTGTCGTCGTTGTCATCGTCATCGTCATCGTCATCGTCGTCGTCGTCGTCGTTGTCGTCGTTGCCGTCGTCTTTTCCGGTCGGCGCTTATGCGAAACGCGCCAAAGTTCCTCGAAGTTCTTCCACGGTTAGATACGACGACGTGGTCTTATGCTTAGGAAAAACACATTTTGGCATGGCTCTCTTCATTGGCAGTGTCAACGTTAGAGGTGGGACCAACTAGTAAAGCATACCCAATCCCATTTTGAGCTTTAGGGCGTGGCTTTTGCCTGGCGGACTTCTATTTTCGGTCCCCCACACCCTTCCCTCCCATCCCTCCTTTTCTTTCCCCACTCATCCCTAGAGCACCCTCCTACCCCACCCCAGCCCCCCCCGGGGTTGGCGGGCGACTCTCTGCCGCGGTAGACGCGTTTTCGTGATTTCAATTTTCTCAGGTGATTAAGTTGTAACGCCCGCAGGCCGGAAACTACGTCGTCTCACTTCGGATAGTTCGTCTCTCTCTCTCTCTCTCTCTCTCTCTCTCTCTCTCTCTTTCTCTCTCTCTCTCTCTCTCTCTCTTTCTCTCTCTCTGTGCCTGTCTGTCTATCTATATCTCTATCTTTATCTCTCTCTCACACATGTTCATTTTCCTCATTGCAAAATCGAAGATGGTTAATCCATATCGGAGATGGGACCGAGTACACGCCGATTTGTTGTCTCCCGTGGTTCATTTCGTTCTCGTCTATTTTCGAATAGAAATTCTCTTCTTCCCGTCTTCGTTCTCTTTTACTCGACATCGTCCTCCCCGCTGCCCCCCCGCCCCCCATAATCGTTCCCTTAAGATGGTCGATTCGTAACTATCTTCATAAGACTTTCTTATCGTAAATGATAAAACATTGATCATATAGCCAATTCATTCTTTTGATTTGTACCCATCCCCTTCTCCTCCTCCTCCTCCTCCTCCTTTTTCTATCGTTAGACAATTCGTTATGGCTTGTATTTATTGGTTCTTTCTTTCTTTCTTTTTTTTATCTTTCTTTTTTGTTTTTTTTTTCTTTTCTTTTTTCTTTTCTTTTTTGTTTTTTTTTTATTTTCTATATTCAGAGTACGTAAAATTTGAGATGGATTTTGTTTTCCTTTTTCTTTTTCTTTTTCTTTTTCTTTTTTTTTTATCAGTTTCTAGGTTATATATCGATATATATATATATGTATTAAAGGATATATATATTAAAAGAAATTGAAATGTGTATAGTGAAAGATATTTAAATGAAAAACATTCAAACTATTTTTTCATTTTGTGCTTGAAATAAGGAAACAATTGTTCTTTTTTGTTGTTTCCAAATTTAATCGTTGTTCACAAGAAAATACAAAATTCTTTTCAGACGATTACTATTTCTTTTCGTATGAGAAATCTCTTTTACAATATTCATATCATTTTATCAATTGTTTTATTAATTTTATCAACATTTGAAACTTTTGATATTTTCATGGTTTTTTTTTTTTTAATTTTAAATAATATATTAATAAACAAATGCTTTAGTATTATCAGTAAATATATTTATTATGAGAAAAGAATATTTCAAAAAAAAAAAAAAAAAGAAAAAAAAAAAAAATCGGAACAATATTCATTATTCGAAACAAGGAGAACAATTATTATATCGTCTTTATTAAAAATTTAATTTATGGTATAGAAGGATCTTTTCAAAATCCATCTACGAATTCTTTTACAATCAAATTTATCAAATTAAAAGAATCTCCTAATGACTTATAGGAATCTCTAATCTAATTCTTTTTTTTTCCTTTTTTGCAATTTATTATACTCCTTGCGGAGAATGATTGCCATTTTTCTTTGCAAAAGAAATTCCATGGATCTTTTGCAATTTTCATGACATTTTATCAAACTTTTTAAAACTTTTCATACATTTATTGCTTTATTAAATATTTTAAATAACACATTAATGAACAAATAATAATTTAATATTACCGATAGATATATTATAAAAAAAAAAAGAACATTTTAGTACTAATAATAATAATAATAATAATAATAATAATAATAATAATAATAATAGTAATAGTAATAATAGAAATAAAAAAAAAAAAGTCAGAACAACTTTCATTGTTAGGAACAAAAAAAAAAAATTGTTACACCGTCTTTATTGAAAATTTCTATTCCATTGTCTGTAATGATTCTTTCAAAAATTCATCTAAGGAAAGAAATCTTCATTACTAATTTAATTTGAAAACCATTAGCGTAGAATATTTTTTTTCTTATCTAGATCATTATTAATCATCAAGATGTATCCACGTATAACATGCCCTAACGATCTATGGAAATTTCTAATTTACTTTTTTCCTTTTTTTTTTTTTTTACAATTTATTTTTTACTCCATTTCGAACGATCGCTCCTTTTTCTTTTCTCGCAATTTTCATTTTTTAGAACAAGAGAACATTGTTAAATAATATGTTCCTATTTAAAATTGCATTCTTTGTTAAGAAAGATCTCTTAAAATTTTTCTTTTTAAAAGAAATCTTTCTTACAATTTTAATTCGTACACCATTAAAATAAAATCTTTTATATAAATCATTATTAATCATTGATATATGTATTTCATAAGTGATATACATACACATACATTTAATCGGTATTATATATATATATATATATAATGGTTTAGTGATTCTGTAACTATCATTAATTTTCTACAATTTATTTTACTCTATCCTAAGTTAGATCTATTATAAACGATTCAATTTTCAATGGTTCATCGATCTCAAAAGAAGGATACATTGATCGATTAAAAAGTTTCTCTCTCTCTCTCTCTCTCTCTCTCTCTCTCTCTCTCTCTCTCTCTCTCTCTCTCTCTCTCTCTATCTTTCTTACATTCTTCAATGTAGGTTTTACTTACCATGGACATTATAAGATTGATAGTTCGATTCGATTCAATACGATTCAATTCGATTCGATTCGATTACATTCGATCCAAAGAAGGATATCAGAGTTGGCCGTTCGAATCGATTCTCAGTCGATTTCCGTAACCGGTTTTGGTAGCCATGTTGCCTGATCGTAGACGATCGAATTACCTTCTTCTAGTTACTCTCTATAATTATAGCCAAGC